CCTCGTCCCCTTACGACCTCTCCGGTTCACGATCGTCGTTGCACGACGCGAAAAATCGAAAAAGACCAAGAGTCGGAGGAGAAGCGAACGCTGTGTAACGATACGATTCCAAGTATAATTAAATACGCGTTAAATAATATCCGGAGAACGAGTAGCGATATTGTATTAATTTACCAAATGTGCGCGTAATTATTCGAATTATTATAACTATCGGTCCGGTCCGAGGCGAATCTGTTCTAAAAAGCTGCGCCGTCCGTTCCGCGATGCAATTAAAGTCGAATGTAAACCGATAGGGACGCTGTTATACGAAACTTGGAGGTAATGATTACGCGAGCCGTTGTAATTTATTACCGCGTGTGTTCGTTATTCTCAATTGTAACGTAATTCGGTAATATAGCCTAATTGCGGTCTTAACAAGATCGCGTCCACGATTGTCCTTTGCGATTTCGATCGTTTCTCTTTTCGTTCTTCGACCGATGGATAGGTGAAACGAGATACGTTGAAAAGATCCATTTTCCAAGTCGTTCGGCGAGCGGCCGAAATAAGTCACGTTTTTCCCCTCCCGATTCTCGCGGAAACCAGTTCGACGAATATCATTTTTTTGTATATCGCGAATGTTTCTTATTCTTTCGCTGTATCATCGCGTTTATTACAGATAAGGCGATCGTCTAAACGAACGAACGAACGAACGAACGAAGTGTAACGGAACGTATGCAACGGTTAAACGTCTTCGTTGTGCACCTTTCTGCAATTTGTTTCGCGTTCGATAAGCAAGATGACTCATCGAACGCTCACTATCGCGTTCTTCGTCAAATGGAACTCGATACGCGTCTCATTAACACGGGCAAACGGTGCGCTTTTGCGTTCCTTTTTTTCGTCCATTTCTCTTTCTTTCTCTCTCTCTTTTTTCTCTCTCTCTGTCTCTCTCTATCTCGCGCGCGCACACACACACACACATATACACACATTCTGAAATTACGAGAACGCGCGACAATCGAAAAGATCGAACAACGATAATCGACGAGACGAATAGTTATATTCTTCGTCGCGTTGGAAAGTTCGAGACACAAGAGTCGACTGGAAGAGAGGAGAAAGACAGAAAAGGATGAAACGTGGGATACGTCAGGCATAGCGAAGTTGCGCGAGTGTTTCTCGGTGTTTAACGAGCGTTTCTCGTTGGCAAACGATGCGGCCGGCGTTGCTTACATCGACTCCTCCGTCGTCGGGACGAAAAGGTCGAAATGAGCGAAAACCGTGGGGAAGCCGGAGAAGGCCGAAACGCAACGGACACGCACGAACGGCATACACGCGGCCGAGGTGCACACCTATGCGCGTATCATTATCGAAAGAAAGACTGGGAGAGAAAAAAAGTAGGTGAAGAGAGAAGAAAAAAAGAAGCGGTTCCGCGACAGACTTCTCCGGTACGGCGAAGGAAACCGTAGGTAATCGAGCGAGCAGAAATGCTGACGCGGATAAGGGAAACCCTTACGACCGTTTCTGGTGCGCCGGCTATTTACGATCGGTCTCGGTCTATTCCGATGGAACAACCGGAGAAGATGTATTCACCCCGATTCGCGAGATTTCGAAATTCTTACCATCGTCTCTTTCGATCGTCGCAACGTCTATCGAACGTTCGTTAATGAAATTACGTAACGAGTAAAACTTCCAACCGTTCGGATATATTCTCTTTCGATCCTACTTTTTTTCTTTAAACGCCTAAGTTCAAACGCGTAATCGCTCCTCGACTATTTCGTTCCTCGCAGTTTTCGTTCCATCGATCTCTTCGTGAGGTAACTCACGAAAACGTGTAAACTCGGTTGCCAACGGAATTTCTTTTTCGCTCGTTATCTTCTCCACACGCACGATATCGAGGAAACAGAGTCGAAACGGGTTTCGTATTCCGAGCTTTCCCAATTTCGATACTCTCACTGTTACCGTTCACCGAAAATACCACGTATCGCCTCGAGAAATACTCTTCTCGACCAAGTCTGTGAATCGTTTTTTTTTTTTTTAATGCGAATCGCTCCTATTTTTTTTCCTCTTCCTTCTTTCTTTTACTTTTTCTTTACTTTTTCTCTCATTTTTTTTTTTTTTCTTTCCATCGTCACCGATACGAATCGCAAAAGTTGGTCAATTTTGTAGAAATCGAGGGAAAAACTCGTAATCCGGCAACGTTGCCCTCAAAGCGAGAACAGACCGGTACAGGCTGATAAAAATAAATTTGCGCCCGGAATAATCACGGAGCTCCCTAGAGATCTCCGTATGGACGGTGTCTTAGGTGCTGTTTGGCGTAGCGAGTCCGTGAGCGCGTTATCCGTGATGCGTCGCGATTTTCTTCTTAATCGCCAAGCGAAAAAAATCTCGTCACCGAAATTTCGAAATTTTGTCGCGTTTCTCATCATCGTTCTCTTCGATTCTACGGAACGAGTCGGTGGAACGGGACCCCGACTTTTGAAAAGACGCGTATCACGAACGTGGTAGAACGCGTTGCACGAACGAACGAACGAACGAACGAACAACCGTGGAAGAGGAGAGAGGCGGAGAGCGGGAAAGACGCGTGTTACGAAACCATAGCCTGCGAGAACCGAAGGAGGAGAAGAGAGCAGAGCCCGTTCGACGAGCTCTCTTCGTGCGGCCGTTTGTGTTCTATCCTCCTCCTCCTCCTCCTCCTCTCCTCCTCCTCCGCTACCTCCTCGTCCACCTCCTCGTCGTCCTCCGCCACTACCGCCGCCTTCTCCTCCTCCTGCTATCCCTCCTGCCACCCCCGCCGCCCACCCCCTTTCGCCCCGCGCCCTTCTCAACCGCCACCTCTTCCGTTCCCTCGCCCCTTGCCTCTTTCCCGTCTTTCGCATCTACCTTCCTACTTTTCCTTCTCTCGCTCGTTTATTCGCTTTGCCTCTTTCTTCCTCCTTTGCCGTTACTCTCTTCTCTCTTTTCCTCCTTCTCCTACTACTACACTACTACTACTACATTACTACTACTACTATTACTACAACTACAACTACAACTACACACTACTACACTACTACCACCACCATCACCTTTCCTTCCTCCGGCTCGTCGTTTCCACCTCGACGTTTGCTTCGGGCTAAAATAAAAACGCGAGGAGATAACCGTACGAGACGCGAGAGAAAGGAGAGACGTCCGACCCATCGTACCGAGAAAGAAAAGAAAGAGCAGGGAGTGTAAAAGCGCGAAGGAGCCGCGTAAAATGATCGGGGCGAAGGGAAGGAAGAAGAGGAAGAAGGAGAAGGCAGGTCGAGGGGAAAGGTATAACGCGGACCAACTACAAGGAAGAAGGAAAAAAGCGGCGATCGCGCGAGGAACCAACCGAGCTAGAATGTTGCATCGTTCAAAAATTCGCACGAACGTTCGTTTCAAAACTTTTGCGCATTCTTTTTCGATTTTTCTCCGATTTGTTATATCGAAAAGAAATATACAGGTACAGTTCGAAACCAACGTTCAAACATAATCATCGCATCGCAATTCGGTGCGTATGTTTCTTCGTGACGCGACTAATGGACGAGTCGTTACCAATCATTCTGACAATGCGTCAAAGTTGAGTCGCAAAGTTCATGCCATCCGTGGAACTTGACGCGAAATCGTTGCACGGATGGTAACGTGGTTCGCTCGAAGGAAGCGTGCACCAGTGCACGATCAAAGTTGTCCGCGTGAAACGCGACCTTGGCGCCGAAACGCGACGTTCCATGCATTCGTTACGGTTGATAGTAGCGAAGAATGAAAGAATCGATTTTTTTTTTTTTTTTTTTTTTTGCGCGAGAAAAGCTTAAACGGTGTTAAATTGGCGCGGCCAAGGAATACGGCTTTGTCGAAGCCGATTCCCGGATACTTGGATCTCGTAGACCATTCATGTATTCCAAACTTATAGAATACATGAATAATACTTGGCGCAGACCAAGCGACGACGAAAAAGCGAGAGGGAAAGAATCGAAAAGGAGGCTCGATCCTATCGATCTTGTCGATTTTTATCGATAATTTAACGCGATTTATTTCGCTATTAATTACACGTGATAGCGTTCGCGTTCATTCGGTTTCGAGACGCAATAGAAGGCATCGAGTGCGCTATCCCGATGAAATCGTTTACCGTATCTTTCCCGCCACGTGGCTCTTGTTGCAATCGTTCCGGTGGCGATCCTCGCTGGTTCGCGCTACGCTAAGAATTTATCCTCGTCTCGTTGTTCGTCACGTTCCAAAGGGATAGAGAGAAGAAACGCGCGTGATCGAATCGCGAGGAAAGTTGGTCAGGAATTTGCTGGGAAACGGGTAGGCGAGAGATAGCGGATACCGGTCGAAGCGCAGAATCTAGCCTTGACCTATTGGCGGCCTCGCGTCTGGTCCAAACTTCTCGCGGTTTCGCTTCGATTCGATTCGGTTCGGTTCGGATCTCCAGAGGCCACCGCGTAAAACGCGTTTATCGCTTTCTCTTTCTCTCTCATTCCTCCGCTTCTAGACCGGACATTTCCAAATAAAAAGTCTTCGTTCCTATCGCCGTATATACATATGTATATATATATATATATATATATATATATTCGCTCACCGACGGATTTAGATTGGAGATTTTAAAGGATCGGTACGTTACCTTGTGGACGGTTATCGTCGCGACATCGATCACACCCGTCTACGCGGTGGTGGAAACAAATTGTACGGTTTAAGGAACGAGGGCACGACCGGACCTTGCGCAACGAATACAAATGCTACTCTCCCTGTCCCTTGATGGCGCGTGACGAAATTCGTAAAAAGCTCGAGCGAGAGGACGGACAGAGCATAGCGAACAGATATCCGTATCAGTGACAACGCGATAACGCGCGTTCGCGACAAAGCTCGGAATGGAGAATCATCGTTCCGTTCCCGTCGCATCGTCGCTTCAGAACAAAGTCCTCCACAGTTTTTCCATTTCCGATCACCGCCGACGGAAGTCGATTTCTCCGACGATCTCGCGACTCTACGATTTCCGTTGAAAGGACGTACGGACTTACAATTTATAGTGATGTTGCATGTGATGAGCCAAATGCAGTTCGGCGGGATGTTGTTGAAGTTGCTGCTGTTGTTGCTGTTGCTGCGGGTGCATAGCCTGGTGATGGTGAGTCTGCGGGGGATCCAGGCTAGAGGCACCCAGCAGATTCGCGCTCTCCCGAAACAGCGTTGCCACCTGCATCCTCGCTAATATATATATATATATATTATCCTTCGATTAGACTTGTCACACCTTCTCTCCCGACAGACTCGCCAGCCTCTCTCTACACTTTCCGAGGAATTCAAAATAGGGAAATTCTAGGGACTCCGAGAGAAAGATTGGAACGATGGATAGACGGACGAGAGTAAACAGGTAGCAGGGTAAGCAGGCAAGTCCACTGTTCCCGACGGCTTCGCGGAGGGAACGCGAGCCGTCGGTAGGTTAGCGCGAGACGAAGAAACGCGCGCGATCTCGCGTCACTAAAAACGCTTGCACCAACAACACTCACTGTGGCACACTGTCACTGTCGTGAAACGTGATCTGTCGTACCGTCGCGACGACGAGACCGACGGCAATCTCGGTCGGTCGCCGACGACGACGACGACTACTACGACAACTACTACGACACGACGACGATCGCCGCGAATCGAGCGGATTCGATCAAGGTTCAATCGAGCCCCCTCGTAGTGCTGCTCGTCCTCCGATTACCGCTCGCGATCTTCCTTTCCACCGTCGTCATCGTCCTCCAGGATATCCGACGGCCGGTCTCGGGAGCGCCTCGATCCTCCGTCGGAACTCTTCCTCCTCCTCCTCCTCCTCCTCCTCCTCCTCCTCTTCCTCCTCCTCTTTTTCTTCTTCCTCTGCTCCTCGACTCCTCGACGAATCCAAACCCGCGGAGACGCGAAAAGGAGGAACAGAGAGGCAGAGCTCGGACGATAGCCGGACCCACGGTGTTCGGCTGTCTCGCTACTTTCGGCTCGAGACCGCGATACCCTGCCTCCTCCTTTTCGAGAGTCCGCGCGAGAGTGTCTTTCACGGTTTTCACCCGCACGCGGTCACACGTGACCACTATTTCGGCAACGATCGCTCGCCGAATCCAATTATTCCTCTCGATCGAAAACTTTCTTTTTCCAGTTTCTCCTCTTCCGTGTCCCCCGTTCTCGATCCCGATCTCTCCAGATGCCTCCCCGCTGATTTTCTTTCCAAATCCTTCTCACAACGAACGTTCACGTTCCCAATCACTATCGTCTCCTATTTTCTTGCTCCCTCGCCTATATCCTCGCTCCTGGTTGTCGTTCGCTCACGGCAAAGCGGTTTCGTCCGAGGGAATATTCGCATTCGTTGCACCCACGCCCCGAACGATAAAGACGGCACGATGTTTTCTCTTTTTTCTCTGCCTTCCGCCTTTCTCTCCCTCTCTCTCTCTCTCTCTCTTTTTCTTTTTCTCTCTTTCTCTCTCGCTCTCTCTTTCTCTCTCCTTCTCCCTCTTTCGTCTTTTCCTATATTTCCGAATACGAAAGCGTCGATGGTTCAGTCGTTTCTCCAACCGGACAACGAATCGAGTTATTTCGTATTCGATAACACGACGACGCGTATCGCTTCTAAACTTCTCTCGATATTGTGCTCAACACTACGACGATCGCGCCTTCTCGTCCTCTTCGTCTTTGTTCGATCACTGTTCGGATCGTTTTCCTTCGGTGCCCAACTCTGCCCTGTATTCTCTTTAATTCTCTCCCTCCTAATTCTCTATCGTATACGCCTTGCTCCGTATTCGTTTCGACGAGAAGTCCTCTGTCGCGTAAACACTCGTCCACGAATAACACAGAAGTCGAAACCGCGGCAGCAAGAGTCGGCACCGCACTGCTTGATCGTGTCGCTAGTTCGGTCGCTCGAGCCGTGAGGTTCGTGCGTTTCCGACCTCCATCGACTATGTTCGGTCTCGCTCGGTTTCATAGCCTCCCGCCGATCACGACGACGACAACGACGACGACGACGGCGGCGACGGCAGCGGCGGCAGCGGCGGTAACGACCACGACGACACCGACGCCGACGACGACGACGACGACGACGACAACGACGACGACGACGAAGACGAAGACGAAGACGACGACGACGACGACGACGACGACGACGAAGACGAAGACGAAGACGACGACGACGAGGATGACGAGAACGACGTTGGTAACAAAAAATAGAAACGATTTTACTCTCAATTGGTGTAGAAAGTCGGCTTACTGTTTCTTTTTATCAAACGTAATACACAAGTTGATCGAAGTTAATCGATATTCGATCGAGATGAATTGATTTTAGATTCTCGAGGCCAAATTATTTTCAAAGTAGAATTTTAGATAAGATACTCGTTGTTTATTGTTGCGGTGGTATCGATGAGTATTATATCGTATTATATCGATTGAGTTACGCGACTACATTGAGTTTCGTTGAGAAATTTTGCACGCGATATCCTTCTCTCGAAGTGTTAGACCGAGATTCTTTTCGCGAAACTCTGGCGAAGCATCGAACCGATAATTCATTTTCACGTTCTCGCAATTTTAAGAATCGCGATCTCGAGTTTCGTTGCACGAAACTATCCTCGTCATCGGTGGGCAGTTGCCGCGAGTCAAACGGGAGTCCGTCGTTGTAGATTCCGTGGGGAAAATCGATCCGCGTTATCGATCGAAGCGTCGCGCGGCTGAGCCGGCCGTTGGTTGGCCGATTTCCTGCCAGTCTAACTGGCTCGCTGGCCGAGTGCCTGGCCACGGCAGAGGTGGCGGCGAACCGTGCGCGCGGCTTGCGCTCCCAGCACCGTACGTGCATACACGCGTCGAAACGCGGCTCGGTGCACGCGTGTCCGTGTAACGCGTGCAATCCATTCGACCGAGTCCGCCGCGAGGGTGTACATCCAAGTGGGAAGGCGAGCTCGAGCGCGAGCGCACGACCGTGTGCGAACCCGTGGGTGAGAAACGCGCACCCGCGCGCACGCACACATGCCCATATACATACACACATACACACACACACGCTCATCGTGCTCATTCGCGCTGGCGCGTATATCGCCGAGAGACCAACTGCGAGACAAGGACCGACCAACGGAGAAACCGAGACAGCTCTGAGGTATATAAGGGAACGTATGCGTGTACACGTATGCACGAGCGCGCGCTATGGTAGTGGTGCAAGCGGTGACCCTGCCGCGATGTAGGTGGACGGAATACCAGGGCTGTACCTAGATATCGTATCGCGACGTTTCTCTCGTCCTATCGATAATTCGTCCCTCGAGAAATATTATTTTCTCTTCGGTTCGAGGGGCAAGCTTCGTCCCGTCGCTAGATCGTCACATCTAGATGAAGGGAACGCGATCTACCGTGATCCAATCTATGGACTGGATAGACTCTTTCCGTTCGGTGAATTCGCGCACGCTCTAAACCAGCGTTTCTCCGCGATTTCTTCTCTTAAACTTAAACTTCGAACATCGCATTTAAAAGTTGGTTGAAAACAACTTTCAACCTATTCCTTCGTGGAAAGAGAAAAAAAAAAAAAAAAAAGTTGCAATGCAATTTAACCTTTCGTTTTCTCGTCTCTGTAAACGATGAATGCTGATTGGCGATAGTTTCGATCGGCGCGTCGATACTCGACGAGTGGCGCGCGCGATCTTTTCGATCGAGCGTCGCGATAAAAATAATGTCAAAGTCAAATTTCTTAACACGTTCCTGTTTCGAGTAACCAATGTGTGTACGTATGTGTGCATGCGTGCGTATCGCACTTGTGTGTGTGTGTGTGTTATGCACGCGCGCACCATGGTCGGTCATACGTATACATATAGCACCGGGTCTAAGCACGAACGAGTCGTGGCAGAGAGCGGGGTCGAGGGTGGATTTCACGCAAAGCCGAGCGAGCGAGAAGGAAATGCACGGCGCTCGACCAAGCGAGAGGCGAACAATTCGCGTCGAAGCGCGTACGGACTGATCCTCAAAACGGAAAGAGAACTATCGGTGAAGAAACGAAAGGAGAAACGTTCGAATAAGAAAGAGAAAGAGCGCTCGTTGCGAGTGCAACCATCCTTCGCGGTGAACGAAACGGAAAGAGAAAGACAGAGAGAGAGAGAGACAGAGAGAGAGAGAGAGTGAGTTGGAAGGAAAAGACGATATCGCCATCGTTGAAGCTCACGCAAACACGTTCCTGGCCAAGCTCGCACACTGCTGCTGCCTGCCAGAGACTCCCACCACGCGAACTTTCGGAAAAATCAATAGAATACAAGAAAAGCCCACGCTGCGCTAGGCAAGTGAAACTCTCTCGTCCTTCTTTCTCTTCTCAAATTTTTCCTTCTTCCTTTCTTCTTCCCTTTCTTCTTTTCTTCCTTCCTTTCTTTCTTCTTTCTTTTCTTCTTTTCTTTCCTTCCTTCCTTCGTAGCTCTATTTGCGCTCCACCACGCAAACGTGAAACGTCACGTAGCGTATCCTACCATCGGCCCAACGATCGAGATAAACCATTTGTTTGAAAAAAAATTGATAGCGAAGGAAGGAAAAGACACGCGCGAACTCGCGCGCGTGTGATCGAGGCAAATCGTGGATCGACCAACCTGTCCCCGTCAATCTGCACCGCTTTGCCGGTACTATTCCTTTGAAATCTCTTTTTTTTTTCCCACCACTCCTCTCTCGATCCCGCATTTTCTCGCTTTCAAAAATGAAACGAAGGACCGAGGGAGTGACTTTTCCAGATTTCCGATACTCAAATACGGGAAGGATAATAACGTAATTGCAATATCACGCGAATAGAAAGGGCGGACAGAGAGGAAAGAAGAAGGGGATAAATTCTGAAAAGGCGTGAAGAAACGTGTTATATTGGTCGAACGTCGAAAGAGCGTGGAATCATCATAGAAAGTGGAAATTGGTCCGATGAAAGATCGCGCGATTCGTTGATCTCGATCCGTGCACATTCTCCGATCCAAACGGAATCGTAGCCTATCTCGTACTAAACGGAACTGACCCAGCTTCGTGGCTTTGTACCCTTCGCTCATCCGTCTCTCTCTCTCCTTCTCCCTGTCTCTCTGTCAGTCGGTCGCTCTCTCCCCTCTATTTCGCTGCTTCTTTCCATCTTTGTCCGGTATTCCTGTTACTTCGAGTATCGCGCTCTGTATCTCTCTTTCTCGCGCATACACACTCTCTCTTTCTCTGTCCTTCGCCCCTTGACATTCTCCCACTGGCGGCGACGGCGGTGGCGGTGGCGGCGGCGGCGGCGGCGAGACACCCTCGAGAAGTTTCAATTTATACCGAAAGTCGTCATGACCGAATCCACAAATACGTTCACTCGCTCGCGCTCCTAGTCCATTCATATCAGCTGAGTACGCGTAAACATTGCTGTATCGTTCGTTGTTCCGTCATCTCGTACGAGTACGGTACGACTTCGTCTTTTTTTTTTTTTCTTTCTTTCTTTTTCCTCACGATTCCAAATCGCAACGAACTCTCTTCTTCCATCTCCACGTCCGCGAGAACGAAACGTGGAAAATTTAGTGGAGCGAGAAAAAAAAGCTGTCGCTCGGTCGAGATGGTATCGTAACGGCAAGTCGGTCACGCGACGCAGGATCGCGTGTTCGAGTATCTCTTAGGAAAACGGGATTTTTCACGCCTTTTTCACGAGTTTCGTTCCCGAAAAAAAAACGTTTCTCGAAAAATCCGACTCGAAAAAACGATTCGGTCGGTATGATCGCATCCTTCCTCCTCGATCGATCCCCGATCGATCGATTCGGAAAGAAGAAGGCGAGAGAAAGAGACGAAGGAAAGAAGAAGGCGAGTGAGCACGCGGTCGTGGACTCGGAGCCGACTGCGAGTGGACACGGATCCGGAGGGGGGAGGGGGGGGGGAGGAGGGACAATAAAATAAGCGAATCAGCAGGTCGTTGTCGTAATTCTGGCTACGTCACTGGTACTACCCCTCTACACTCGACGGCGGAGGGTCGTGTACCCTCGCGTAGAGGGGTATAACGGCGGCTGGAGAGTGGAGGGGTGAGAGGCGCAACGGGGCTAGCTAGGGAGGAGGGACAGAGCGCGGTGGTGAGAGGAACGCGCGGAACGCTTTATGAATGAATGTTTCCACGCCAAGTGTGGCGAGAGAGCGAGAGAGGCCCCCGTGTGTCCCGCGTGTAAACACAATAATACCGACGTTTCCATTCATCAGGTCGACCCCGGCAAAGCACGCCGCGACCTCGAGAAATGCCTTTCGAGGCGCCACGTGGATCGCATACCCCTCCCTGACTCTCTCTTTCTCTCTCTCTCTGTCTCTCTTTATCTCTCCCCCCTATCCCTTTCTTTTTTCTTTTCAACCCTCCTCCATCACGATGTTTCGAACGCGATTTCGATCCCACCTCCTCCTTCTCCTCGTTTCGTCTCACGCTTCCTTCTTCTTTCGAGTCCTGTATCGCGAACGTCCTTTGCGAAACAATGGAGTGTATCGGGTTTTAACGAGCACGTTAACGCGTGTTGTTGCAGATCTCCGTGGAAATGAAAGCAGCCACGAAGGATACGTTGGACCAGTGGGCGGGAAAAAGTGTTTGGTCGTTGGTATGCGCGATGGAATTGGGTTTGATATCGGATACCACCGCCTCTCGTAACAACGAGATCTCGTTTCGCCCGATATCGGAAGTCGCGAGCAAATCATCATCCTCCTTACGGATCTCGCCGCGGTTTCGAAAGAAACGAGCCAACGTAGGAGGAGGAAGAGGAAGAAGAAGGAAACGAGCGTCGAAATCTGGGAAAATGAATGGGAAGAGGAGGAAGATGTACGCGAACGATTCAACGATCACCGTGGATCAATTTTGGAGATCGCGTAAAAGAAAACTCGGCCGACCGAAGAAACAACGTTCCGCCGATCTACTCTCCTCGTCGTTCGATCGTCGTCCGATTTTGTCCGATTCGTGTCGATCGACTCGCTCGCGCTCCGCCAACAATAACAACAATAACAATAATAGCAATAACAGCAATAACAATAACAATAACAATAACAACAACAATAACAACAACAACAACAACAACAACAACAACAACAACGTCCTTCTCGTCGGTACGGACGCTCCACGTTTCGAGCGACGAGTATCCCGCGACGATAACGGCGCGTGGAAAAGTTCGAGAAAAAGTGTGCTTCACGAAAAAACGAACGACGAAAATACGATCGAGAATGTTGTAACGCGTTCTAACGGGAAGAGATTCGAGTCGAAAGTTAAGGAGGACGAGAATCGGGACTCGAAGAAATTCGACGAAATTCACACGCTTCCTTTGATGAAGAGAATTTTTCGCGAGAGCGGTGTTGTTTACGGTGTTGAGAACGAGAGAAAAGATGGCCGTCGAGATACGACGGACGAGAAGTGGACGGTTCACGAGGCTGGAAAGAAAGATTCCGTGAAAAAAGTTTCCTCCTCCGAGAGGAAGAGGGTTCGAGAGAAAATGTTGAAAGGTAACGAGGAAAATCTGGAGGTGAGAAGAGTGACGCGAGGATCGATGAAAATTGGGAAGGATCTGTCCGTCGGCAAATTGGTGTGGGGCTATTGCGCGGGATGGTGGCCAGGCAAGGATTTTTCCCATTATTCGTCTCTTTCCAACTCTCCCCGCTCGAGTTTCCTATTCGCGTTCGATCGTTCGATCGGTAAAATCGGTATTGTCCTAACCGATTGAGATCGACGCAGCACCGGTCGCGAAAAGTACGCAAAGTTTTGTACACAAAGTTGCAACTAGGAATGTGCGCATGACCGCGAAAAGAAGCGACGAGACGAGATTAGCCATTTAGTCCTAAGTAAACGTTTCTATGTGATATTGCAGCGTTAATTATCGATGCCGACCATGTAGGAATGTTGTCCGAGGAAGGGAAATTATGGGTTTACTGGATCGGAGAAGCTCGTATATCATTAGTGAATATTTTATTTATTTATTTATTTATTTATTTATTTATTTATTTATCTATCTATCTATCTATCTATCTATCTGTATATCTATTTATCTATCTTTTATCTTTATTTAATATATTTGCACGCGTCTCTCGAAATTCACCGTTGTTACCTTCGTTTCAGTTGAACGAAAAGACGCAGATCGAACCGTTCTCGTGTAACCTCAAGGCTAGACTGACGCAGAATTTAAACGTACCGCGAATTCGTGCCATTGACGCAACTATGCAGGTTTTATTTTCCATTTTCTTTTTTTCTCTCCTTCCTCATTTTTTTCTTCCTCCTTCGCTTTTCATCTCCTTTTTTCTTTTCGAGCGCGCGCTCAACATACGACTTTCTTTCAGATGTTGCGCAAAAAATTGGGCGGTATTTTGACCAAACCGTATTTCACGTGGATCGAAAGCAATTTCCCCAAAAATATGATCGAAAGTAAGCGATCGAATGGAAAAATGTATTCTTTTTTTTTTTTTTTTTTTTTTTTCAATTAACGTTTCTCCTTCTTTTTTTTTTTTCGCGCAAAAGTGTTGGACGAAATCAAGTTTTATCCGTATCCGGTAAAAATGCAACAAAGATTGGACCATCTTAGAGAAAAAAACGCAAAAGTAACGGAAAGATATTTATTGGATCAAAAACGTACGTATTCGATTCTTTTCGTCCGTTCCTTTTTTTCCTTCCCTCGACGAATAGAAATGGAGATGGGTGAATTTGTCGATAGGAGAAAATCAAGAGAGAAAACTGGCCGAGAAGTCGAAAGATTCGCCGCAAAAAGTCAACGTAGATTTGACGCTTTTGCCATTGAAAGAACAGAATCCAGGAATTATAGCCTGGGCTAAAATTGCCGGGCATAATTGGTGGCCAGGTAATATCCTTTCGATTTTTTTCCTTTTTTTATATACTCTCTCCTTACACGCGCGCTAATAAACGTATCGCTACACATCTTCGTTTTTTTTCCACTTTACGATCGATTCTCAAGTTTCGGTCGCGCGTGAAGTTGCGCATGTGCCGATTCGAGAACGTTCGAGAACGCTCGATCGATCTCGAGTGGCAAAAATCGATTCGATAGCGAAAAGAGGATGAAAACACGCTACGCCCTTTATGATTCGCAGCGATGATTATCGATTATCGCGATTGTTGCATGCGAGAACCAACGTTCGGTTGCCAATGGATTATGTGGTACGGTGACTACAAACTGTCAGAGGTAAAAATTATCCAAACGTATATCATTTAAATCATATGTGTCCCGATCTCGAAATGGAAATGATCGTACGTAGTTTTCCTTGTGCACGCGCATCAACAGGTGCATCACCAATTGTTTTTGAGATTCGACAAGGGAATGGAAAAAATGCGGGAGTACACGAACAACACGAAAAAACATATTTATCTCGTCGGTGTTCTTCAAGCCTCGAAGGTAATATCATTTATCGCGTTATATCGAGTTCTCGATCGAGCTTTATTTATAAATTATTACTTCTTATTATTAAAGATATATATATTTATACTTATATTGTACTTATTATATATATTATATACTTATTATACTTATATTATACTTAAATTATTACTTCTTTTAGGACTATTGCTCCCGCCTAGGATTCGAAACCGTCAACTGGACTTTGGACGACGCGTTCGAATATTTTTCCAAACCTAATCATTACGAAACGTCGTCCATTTCGAGAAGAGAAGATTCGGTTAAAATCTATGACAAATATTCGCCCCGTATCGCGGAAAAATTGAACGAATTGAAGGATAATCCGAATGTGGACGACGAACGGGCGAATGATATAAACAACAGCGGTAAGATTGAAAGGAGATAGATAAAAATATCCGTTATCCGTCATCCGTAAAACTGTTCTCTTTCGATCCAGATGATTTGCGATTGGCTATAAGCGGAGAAATCTCGTTCGATTCGTTGTGCCTAAAGTGTCTGCGAGTTTCCAACGATAAAATGGACATTCATCCGTTCTTCGAGGGATCTTTGTGCAAAGATTGTTCGGTAAGATTGAAAAGGATCTTGCATACGCTTAATATAATTTTATTTTTCTCTCGAATCCTTGCTTCCAAACATGCTTAAAAAAAATCATGTTTCAGGAACGATATAAACCCTGTATGTTCGTTTTCGGTAACGACTCCAAATGCGTAAGTATTTCGTCTCGTTTCATCTCGTTTTAATAATCAACCCCTTTTCTTCTCTCCACCGAGCAGTTTTATTGCACGGTGTGCGCCGCCTCTGGGATGGTGATCATCTGCGACAAAGAAGATTGTCCAAGGTAAATTCGCCAATTTCGAAACAATTCTTTTTTCTTCTTCTTTTTTCGTTAACAAATTCTCTTTTCAACCAGGGTTTACTGTACCGCTTGCATGAAACACCTCTTATGCCCGACGACTTACGAGCAAGTGCTCCAAGAGGATCCTTGGGAATGCTTCCTCTGCAAGTCTCGATCGTTCACCGACACGATCGTCAGACCTCGAACTAATTGGAAGGACAAGATAATTAATATGTTCCGTACGAGTTGCGATTCAAATGCGCAACACTTGGTTGCAAAGCACAATTCAGAGAAGAGAAAAATACGCGTTCTCTCCCTGTTCGATGGCCTTGGTACAGGTACACGAATCCATCATTTTCTTCTACCCACCGTCTTTCCTCTTCTCCAATTTATTTTTTACGTATTATATACGAAATTTCATATATATGCGTTCTCTACGAGAAGATAGATGTTTTCAGGTTTACTGGTGCTTCTGAAATTGGGCTTCACAGTGGACGCCTACTACGCGAGCGAGATCGATCCAGACGCGTTGATGGTTACCGCCTCGCATTTCGGCGACCGTATCCTTCAATTAGGCAACGTAAAGGATATCACGAGCAAGACGATTAAAGAGATAGCGCCTATCGATCTTCTGATCGGCGGATCGCCGTGCAACGATCTCAGTTTGGCCAATCCGGCGCGGCTCGGGCTCCACGGTTCGATTTCGAATTTTTTTAAGTTTATATCAATTGTATCAGTTTGTTAATTAAGTCGAGAACACGCGTGTATCGGTCGTTTTTCCCTCTCAGATCCGAGGGGAACCGGTGTACTCTTCTTCGAGTATCGTCGAATTCTGAAACTGGTGAAGAAACTTAACAACGAACGACATTTGTTTTGGTTGTACGAAAACGTCGCCTCGATGCCCAGCGAGTACAGATTGGAGATTAACAAGTAAGTTAAATTAATTTAACCCTTTGCACTCCAGGCCTGTTTCGCTCGATCGAACCAGCAACTCCAAACTCGTGTTCTGGTGCAATTTCTTACAGTTAATTTATAACGATTTCACACGCAAATTAACGCATAAAACTTTTATATTTTAATATTCTATGACATATCTTGACATATAAAGAAACAAAATTTATTGAATATTAAAACCTATATTGTTATTTTGTGGGATATTTTATGAAGCAATGAAGGACAAGTTTTCCTTCTAACTTTTTTATTGCATAATTATTTCGCGCATTATTTCATTAATAAATTCATCGGTAAAAATAGTTTAAAAAAATCTAATGGTTCATTTATATTCGAAGATACTTGCGGTCCTACAAATTTTTCACCGAGTACGAATTGTATTCTTCGCGATATATTTTCCGATTCTATGCGTGTTATCCATTTGGAATTTTCTGTATCTTCCGCGATATCTTCACTTGATTGGTTTCACTATCTATTATTCTTATTTTTCGCTTCTTATACCTCTTATTTCATCTCCATGTTCATCATTGCTTTCTCTATCGTTAATTTCTTTACGAATAGAAGTAATTTTGTCATTCAATAACGAAAAATCAAACTCATGTTCGCTTCAACTAATTTCATTACCGTATTCCATGCTTACAATTCTCAAAAACTTTGAAAATAATATTTCTATTTCTATTGAACGACCAAAGATGTCCTTCGACTCGCGATCACGGTTTAATTTGAGATAAAAAATCTACCCATTTAACAATACATTATTCTACACCTCATAAGATTATACGTAAAGAGGTTAGGAACTTATTTGTGAAGCGATATTTTAAAAAAATCAAACATAAACTATCAAACTCAGACTAACGCCGAAGATGTCATTCGACTCACGATCACGGTCTAATTTAAGATAAAAAACCTACCCATTTAACAATACATTATTCTACACCTCATAAGATTATACGTAAAGAGGTTAGGAACTTATTCATGAAGCGATATTCTAAAAAAATCAAACGTGAATATTGTCGCTTGTTCAAGTTGCCGAACAATCTCAGTCACTGTTGGAGAGCAAAGGGTTAAGTTTAAATTTTCATCGAAATTACCATACGATTATATTTTCTTGTACATTTGATAAAAGACATCTAGGACAAGAACCCGATGTGATAGATTCGGCAGATTTTTCACCTCAGCATAGATTGAGGCTCTACTGGCATAATTTCCCGATAGAACCACACTTGTTACCGTCCCAAAGGGAGCAGGACGTGCAAGATATACTTACGCCACATTGTCAACGTTACTCGCTCGTTAAAAAGATACGTACCGTCACTACGAAAGTAAATTCGTTAAAGCAGGGTAAGTGAGAGTGTATACGTTTCTTTCGAATGATTCGCTGATCGATAATTCCTTTTTTTTTTCTCTCTCTCTCTCTTTCTAATTAGGCAAACTTGCATTGAAACCAATTTTGATGAAAGACGAAAGTGACTCCTTGTGGATAACCGAATTGGAGGAAATATTCGGATTCCCTCGTCATTACACGGACGTAAAGAATTTATCGGCTACGAAACGACAGAGATTAATAGGTAAATCTTGGAGCGTGCAAACATTGACAGCCATTTTCAAATGTCTTTGTCCCTTTTTCGAGCGCGATATCGTGGAAGCGAAAGATGAATCGTAACGCAGTTGGAGAAAAAGAAGAAAATGATGATGGACCGATCAAACCTAAACGGATTTATTCAAAAGGTGATTAAAGTGAGAGACAAATATATCTAATTAATCGTTTCTTTTATCCTCCTCTCCCTCCCTTCCCTCCCTTCTCTTCCTTTTAACCATTTTATTTTCAACCATTGTTACAGTTAATGAAAAGAAAAACAAAACGAAACAAAACTTTTTCTTTACATTTCAAACTCTTTTTCAATATTCCAACTTTCTTTTCCTTTCGTATCGTATACGAAATATTCTTCACGGCTCAAAAATATCATAATATATTTTGTACATTGTTGTTTTTCATATAAGTAATCATAATAAAAAAAAAAAAAAAAAAAAAAAAAAAAAAAAACTTATATTTATAAATGTAGTTTAATTTCGAAGTAAGTAATAGAAACAAATATCGATGTGTAAAATTTATAATGATATAAATTTTAAGAAGCATCGCTTTAAACGTTATTCTGCTATTCCTTTTGATATCTCATACGGAAGTATCCCCTGCGATGCTCTCGACTCATTGGTGAAACCTCATTACCACCGGTATAAGGTACGTTTCTTTGTTGATTAATTTGTAATAGCGTAATAGGAACAGGTATACATCCCATCAAACAATTCACATACCGCATTATGGAGACTGGTAACGGTGTGTTTATAAATATCTCTTTCCTCTCCATGTCAACCCCTCTGACGATACCTGCGTTTGAACCGAATTACAATAGTGATTATACAAATTATATAAATTTAAAATTATCGATAAAAGATATTAGAAAAAAAGTATACCACCGAAACGCTTACCGAATCCGTAACAGGCGCAAAGAGGAGATCTGTTTAATACACGAGGACCAGATCCAGCCTCTTGCCATTCGTTGTTGTTCATATCGATTCCACACAATGCCACTATATTACCATTCACTATGTTCAACACGTGCGACGCGGACGTCGATGGTCGCGGAATTGCAATGAATAACGATGCGAAAGATGTTCTGCAAGATAAGAAGATTCTCCTATATTAGAATGGTTTAGAAGATGATTTCTTCGTCTTCGATGTATGCGAAGAGAAAATACTAACACGTATGGTACAGCTTCGTTGATACTCAAAGCGTCATAACGTGTCCTAAAGAAAATTAATACGTATTAAAATATATATGTGCTCTATAAAATATAATCAATATTGTAAATTTAATGTTAATATTAAATTATTCGTTTCACAAATCTTACGTAGAATTCGAAGAGTTTTGTACAATTTCACTGAGGTAAGATATCATAACGAGTTCTCGTTGCTGATACGGTTCCATATTCCAAGTTTCGTATCCTGGACCAGCTTTACGTTCCGCGTGCGAACGTACTACGAATAATTCGTGATCGCACGGTTGATTCCAGGTGACAATGTTCGTGCCCCATGTTAATTCCTACAAAGAACAGACTTTTCCGTCTTTGCTAAATTATTCGAATATACAAATCGATAAGATAGATATCGAATATACCTGTCGATTTACTACTTGTTTGCTCAAGTATCCGATATAATTGTTCTTTGGCTTTTCGGACATAATTTGTACCACGAAAGAAGGTCGGATCAATTTAATCGTAAACATGATTATATCCCAACCAACGCCTTGCGAGAAACCCATTGTGTTTATAACAATTGGTAAATGTGACAAGTTTGGACAATTTAACAATTTATCGAATAACATTTTGACAGCCTCGATGTATCGCGTAATGCAACGCGATACGTTCACGTCTCCGATATACAATTGGAAAACTGGTGTGGTTAAATGCGTAAAATTTGGTCCCATCAAGGGTCGTTCGATTAAACTATACGATATACATCCGGGCGGTGTGCATTCCGTTTGGCCTGGATCAACGTCCATAAGAATCACCATTTTTGAGGCGGGTAATAGACTATTTATCAAATAACGCGTCGTAGTAGATTTACCAACACCTTTCCCGCCGGCAATTAAAGCGCACGACCATTCGTTCGAACGCCAACAATTCAACATTTTCTCACTAACTTCTTGTGCGATACGTGGATCAATAATTAACTCCTTACACGTGGAATTATCGATATAAAGATTCGATTGCAATATTGTTTCGGCTCTTTTTGGATCGGCCCAAGAATAATACGATGTATTCTTTATTTTTGGGAATAGCCTAAATGGATAGAAAACGTGTAAAAATCTAGTCAATTTGTTATCTAAATTGGATAACAAAAGAACAGCCATGTCAGGTTGAATTTGTTCGATCTCGTCGACCAATTTGTTCTTTTGATTTCGATCGATACCTTCGAGAGAAAGAGACATCCATATATCCGATTCGATGTTCTTCACAGATTTTTCGCTTACTTCGATCGATACGTTACTATATCCTCTTGGTGAATAGATTTCGATCGGATCGTTCTTTGTAGTGATAAAAAATCCGTAAACTTCTATGGCGCCATATATTACCTTTACAACCAATTTTCCGGTAAAACAAAATCGTGCCCTTTTCGACATCACTGCGACTATTTTATTCTTAACACAATAAAACCGTACTGGCTGTTGTTCAATAGACGGAATATCATTTTTATTCAATGTTCTCGCTTCGAATGTATCGTCTCTTCCATTTATATCGTCGAAACTATTATTTTCTTCGTAGAAAGTATCAGAAGATTTTTCAGTCTCTTTAGTAGTGGAAACTATTAATTGCTTTTCTGGACTAGTCTTTTCTGAACTAATAGGAATATTTGAATTACTATTTCGCGATTTTTTCTTATCTATACGTGGTTTACGATTATTCTTGGATAATGACATAATTTTAGTACCGTTCCCTCGATTGTATAAATTATCATTTGGATTTAATGATTCGGCAACAACTACGCAAGCTTCATCCTTTTTGAAATCGTTTACCATACACGATGGATTATTATCAAAAATATCATTTTCCATTATCAATTGTTCGCTCTCTTTAAATACTTCAGGTATGCTTAACGAAGATAAATTTTCTGAGAGTGTTTCAACTATTACAGGTAAACCTATATTTCTTTGTTCTAAAATGTCGCGATATCGTTTGTCACTTCTATCCCTGGCTTCAGGAGAGTCATTGCACGACTCTAAGGAAAGATCCATAGAATCTGAAATGTAAGCAATCCCTTTCCATAATGGTGTTCTTTACTTGAATAAAGGTATTATACCATATTTTATCTTCAACCTGCAAATATCGTGCGGTGTTTACACCGATGTACAAACACAAGTCACGCGATTTCAAATAGTTTATCAAAAGAATACATAAATTTCTTACGTTGTGTTCCTTTCATATTAGCATATTTTTTCTTTCTTCGTTTCAAATTACGTTGTAAGATTAATTGTTTATTACTTAATGAACTTCCCACTAACGAGCTGTTTTGATAATTTTTATTTCTTTTGCAAGAAGGATTCATATTCGAATACGATGCTCTTTCTCCTTGGATTAACTTGTTTTGCACTTTATATTGCGGCAATTTTCTAAATTAAAAATTATAATTTTTTAATCAAAAACAATATTGCGTTGTAATGCAATCTAATCATAACATTTTAATTACATCAGATAAAATTATTAAGAAGCATTCTAATAGTTCGATATTTACTTACGCTTTGGTTTTTTTTGTAACTTGTGAATTTTTGAGTTGTGATATTCTTAACTTTTTCGCTTGTGTTACTTTCATTTTTACGTTCTATAAAATTCAAATATATATATAAAGAAAAAAGTTTAGATCTTTATAGGACGCATTTCCGAAAACTAACCTTATATTTGTTATAAACTAATATTATGGTTCGTTTTTAAAGGAAGGTTCCGCTTATGTGCGTGCACAAGCATGTGTATGTATCTGTAAAATAAATACTAAACACTAACTTCTAGTTTAGGGTTGATTTTTCATTAAATCTCTCATAGAAAAAATGAAAACGCTTCTTTAATAGCACGTTTAAAAAAGGATGACGGAGAGGCACTTCAGCGACGCATCACGGCTACTATAGTTACCATCCAATGTTAACGATACGAAGTCGCGGCAGTATTTAGCATTAATATTCACATAAAATGGAGTTACCAGTTACGTATTGTTTATGCGGTCGTTCTTACGATTTTGAACAATTTATGATACAATGTGACGTTTGTAAAGAATGGTATCATGGAGGGTAAGCGTTCAGAAATTGTGACAATTAAAAACAACGATCTAAATACTGTGACAAGATTATGCTTTGTAAAATTAAATATAAACATACGTAAACATAGATTTTGGTTTCTATTCTGCAAAAAATTTTCAAATAATTTGATTATTTTTTTCTTAATTTTCTTTCCCCTTAACTTTTTATATGAAAATAATAATTACGATATAGCTTTATAGAGACAAGTTTTGTTGATACTTACATAACCTATCCGAATTATGCGATATCTTTTGATACAAAAGTAAAAATATATATATAAAAATTATAATCTTTTTATATATATTTTATATTATATAAGAAAAATCTTACCAATTTTGTTTAAAAGTAATTTATATATTTTTTGATTTGACAGATGCGTATCTATAAAGGAATATATGTCGATAGATCTTGACAAATATCATTGTCCGCGTTGTGAAGCGATGTGCGGACCATCGATTAGTGAGTATATAGAAATTATATTTTTTTTTGTCGTTTTCATTGTATTTTTTGATAAATAATAAATTTCCTATTATTTTAACGATGATTGTACTTTAGTGAAAGTAAGATTAAATTGGCATAGACACGATTATTCTGAACCTGATGCGGATACAAAACCAGTACAAACTGGCACACCAGTTTTTATAAGAGAATTAAAATCCAGACATTTTCCAAAAGCTGATGAAGTTGTTAAGCATGTTAGAGGACAGCAATTGACTCTTCAACATTTGCAAACTAATGGTTTTGAGAGTCCCATTATAATAGACGGAAAAGACGGACTTGATATGACTGTTCCACCTCCAAACTTCAGTGTTTACGATATAGAAAGTTGTATAGGTATTAATTCTTCTTGTAATATTAGTATTAATATTATATTGTTCTTTTTACAAAATAAAAATTTTATATCCAATGGAATTTTTTTTCTTCTCAGGTGGAGATCGAGACATGGATGTGATCGATGTTACAAGACAAAATAATATCAGAATGAAATTAAGAGACTTTGTTGAATATTACAATTCCCCTTGCAGAACAAGGGTTCTTAATGTGATTAGTCTTGAATTTACAAACACTGGGTATACCAATATTAATTGCCTTGCCACATATTGGCTTTAAATGTTTCTAAGAAGTATATGTATATAAATATAATATATAAATTGACAAATAAACGTTGCAGTCTTTCTCCAATGGTCGAGGCACCATACATCGCGCGTAAACTCGACTGGGTTAATTCCGTTTGGCCACGCGATTGGCCCGAGGATAGTGACATAAAACGTCCGGAAGTACAAAAATATTGCCTAATGGGGGTCAAAGACAGTTTCACAGATTTCCATATTGATTTTGGTGGCACATCTGTGTGGTATCACGTGCTACGTGGAGAAAAAGTGTTTTATTTAATCAGGCCTACTTCTGCAAATTTACAATTATATCAACATTGGATGTGTAGCTCAACGCAGAGCGAAACGTTTTTTGGAGACCAAGCTGATGCGTGTTACAAATGCGTTTTAAAACAAGGTCAAACCATGATGATTCCAACAGGATGGATACACGCAGTGTTAACGCCTGTCGATTCTTTAGTTTTTGGTGGAAACTTTGTACATAGTCTTAACATTCCAACGCAAATACAGTAAGTATTATATATGTAGCTAATAATAATCCTTTTTAATCATCATAAATAAATTATCATTAATATCCGTATTCTATAGAATATATGAATTAGAAAAAAAGATGAAGACTCCTGCCAAATTTCAATATCCTGGTTTTGAGACAATCAATTGGTTTGCAGCAAAAAAATTATTGAAAGAATTGAAAGAATTAAATAACGAGGGAAAGAAATGTCCCACATATCTCTTACAGGGTGTTAAAGCATTACTCAGCATTCTAAAACAATGGAACACAGATAAAGATGTACGTTTATTTTCTTCCTGGAAAAATCATTTTATGTATATAATAGATATTTTATTTAGATAGATATCAGAATGTATTTAATTTCTATTTCAGTATAATATGATTAGCAGGGGTCAAATACCGGAAACAATAAATAGTCAAAAATTGCTAAAAGATTTTAGTAAAGAAATACGACATGCAGAACGATACTTAATGTCATTAAATCCTCCAAAACCAGAGCGAGAGAGTAAACGCAAGAAAAAAAAACCATTAAACAAAGATTTCGTAGATTATGATGTTGCCGATAAAATGGCTGATAATCCGTTCAAAGCAACGTTAAAAGAGATGAACAAAACTAGTTCTACGAACTCGGAACCACCCTCATCGGGTAGACCACCGTTAAAATTAACTCTACCGAAACCTATAATGTATCCATATGTCAAAACTCAAAATGCAACGTTGGAAGAAAAAAATACGTCTTCCATTAGTAATAAACGATCATCAAAACCAGGAAAACAGAGTCCAACTGTAATTAGATTTAAACTTGGCAATAACGAAGTCGTACGAAGTACACACGATGACATAAATACATATAACGAGTTTACTTCTGATCATCATCTTGGAACACCGAAAGAATTAACTTGGAAGCAAACTTCCATATACGATTTTCATGATGGTAGTAACGAAAGTGATTATGGTCGTTTTACTATCGATGAATCACCGAAACGAAAAAGGGCACCAAGAATTAATACGCAAAAACGGTTAAAACGCGACTATGATGGAGATGTTGATGTCTTAAATGATGTACCAAAAAACGGCATTGAAGAATTATTAAAAGCCTCGGCTTATACTTTGGGAAATGGTGCTCAAAGATTAGATGTAACGTAAGTTAACATAATCAATTATTCAGTAAATTGCAATAATTTCATTCCTTATAATATTATAATATTTGATTATAGGACATCGATGATATCACAATACAATCAACCTATACCACCACCTACTGGGTAAGATTAAATGTTGACATCTTTAAAAAATTTATTTGACAAAGCATGTTTAATATTTCTTTATTATTAATTTGCTTGTTAATTCGTTTTTCCTCCTTTTTTTAATATTAAAGAAACATATTTGCATGTATTTTTATTATTTTCCAATAGTATAGTATTGTTATGTTTTATGTTTTTGGTGTCTTAGTATTTATAAATTGAAAACAACCAGTTCTGGTAGGGCATCTCCATCTACTCGAGAAGCAATCGCTGGGATGTTATCCTTCAGCGAACAATGCTATTCAACTACATCGAACAGTACATCGAAATCTACAAAAATCACTAAAATGCAACCTGACGAAGACGACGATCAATCGATAGAAAATATCGATAAAGTTCACCAGGACGATGATTTTAGTATGTAAAAAATCATAAAAATATTATTTATTTTATTTGAATGAAATTATATTTACAATTAATAATGATTATATATATTTTACAATTCGTAGTTTATCCGTCTCTTGACGCTTCGGATGACGAAGATTCTATTTTTAAACCAAAAGCGAAAAGTCAAATAGACGAGGCATGGAATCCAAAAGCCAGAGTAGGACCTCTCCTGCCAAAGACAAATCGTCCAGCTCGAGAAGGTGTCAAGAAAACATCTGTTGAAAAAGGACTCGAAGCAGCAGCAGCAAAACGTGCAAAACAATCGGTATATATAAATTTTCTTATTTTTTCATTTTCTTTTTATTATTATTATTGTTGTTATTGTTGTTGTTATTGATGTTTTTATTCTTTTCATTGTTTTTGATTATCATCATCATCATCATCATCATCATCTTCATCATCATCATCATAATATTGATTATTATATTAATTGGCAATTAAATTTACTCTTAACTTGATACTTATTACATATCATATAATATAGATTTGTTTTTATAACACAAATTAACTCATTTATTACACTATGTATTCTATATTTACATTCATATGCATTTTCATAATTATTTTTTTCTTGCATACTCATATCGTATAGGACGATTATCTGGATAACAACATGGATAAGGGCTCCAAGAAGAAATTGGTAGGCATATTACGGTTTCACTATTCGTTTCATAACGTACGTTGCATGTATATTTATGATTGTATCTTGATAACCATTCGATTCATATTTGTGTTTCGTCGTATGTAAAATTATAAAAATAAATACATTTTTGTTTATTTAACTTTTAACTTTTTGGTACGCAACTATTTATAAATTAGTATTAATTTTATTGATAATAAACTTCTTATGATTGTTATATCTTTTTTATTTTATTTAATAATAATTAAAATAAAATTAATTTATTGCATATAAAATAATAGAGCACAACCAAACGGACATATAATAAAAAGAAGCAAAAGAATTCATCCGTAACATCGACAACTGGTACATCGACTACAACTTCAGAAAATACTGTAAAAACAAGCATCGGATTCGGTTCAATATTAACTAGCCCTAACAGGCTTAAAGATGTAAAAGCAAAACTAGCAGCCCCGGTTCCAGTTGGTAATATATAGTCCTAACTTTATTTTTTCTTTTTTTTTTTTTTTATTTTATCAAAATTTCTTTTTATTTTATCAAAATTGTTTATAAACAATGTTCAATATATTAATCTACTTTCATTTTCAGAACGAAAACCAAAGAAAGGGATGAAAACGGCTAAACAACGCTTAGGAAAAATCTTGAAACTTCACAAAATGATGCATTAAATCGACAACTAGTAAAAAAAAAATCAAAAACGCAATGAGCTATACATACATCACATCATTTTCTCCATTTGTGTACAAAAAAATGTAATAGGTGTACATTGCTATGTAAATATGTTCAAATCATTAAGGTAGTATATCTAATATTTGTCTTAAGAATCTAGTTTTTAAAATTGCGATCGTTTTTTTAACGAAATATTTATATTTATTACCGTACTATTTGATTTTAAGACGTCGTATATTATAATATATATTGTATGTTTTGATACTTGACTACTTCGGCAAGAAATTATGTTATAGTGAACGCTTGCAGAAGCTCCTTCTATATGTACGATTTTATTTTAAAACTATATTCGTTAACAACTCAAAAAAGAAGAAGATTATTGATCTATACGAGTGTAAAGAGGCTGTAGTATATTAAATTTTTTTCAATTAACTATTTAATAACTATAACAAATTTTATACGGCATAATAGCTGCATGACAACAAAAAAAATGGGATAATATTTTGTATAAATTTATTTAAAACTTTTCATTTTGATCATGTGCTTTTCATTACTTTTACATCTTGTACTTATTACTATCTTCAGTTGATACCAAATTATATTCATTTTGATATATATGATAATATTTAATAACTTATTCAAATAACTAAATTTTATACATCTAAAGAAAAGTTTAACATATTTTATAATGTGATTTATTATCATTTCGTAAACGTGTAATCCTTTTGTATATCTCTTAATACATAATCTAATCAATGATATACATATGTCAAGAAATACAAACATTGCGCGTGCGCACGCATGCATTTGGTATGCATGTATTGTTGCTGTTTAATTGCTCTGTTTATTATCGCTTTCATTGGCAAATATCAATGATACAATTTTTCACTTAATCGTTGATTTATATAATTGTTAATTGTAAGATACGATTAATTAAATTATATAGTTTTCATACTTACATTCATGCAGTATGTATTCGTGTAACTTTTATATATAGTTGCGATGTATGAGTTCGTATTAACGGTTAAAAGATACTTCATACTTCCCGCTGAATTTAGAATGCAAAGGAATGTGAGCGCATGCGTGCGATTGTCTATACTTGGCAGTATTCAATGGTACCTCGATTAGTGTTGATCGTTTTGTAAAATTTCATGTTAATCTGACAGGTTCTCGCGAGAACGTTTATTGACCGTCCATTCGCTGTGTCGTTATTAATAATATGTACAAGTGTATATACATTTTAACAATTTTACCGTGTTCAACATCTGTGTTCGAATCAGTATCAAATTTTTGTGTCTTTTTCTACAAAAAATATTTCAGAATATATGGCGTTTTCGATAGTGTATGAACCGTGAAGCGATCGTGGAACAGTGAATTAATAGTAAAAAATAAATTGTGATATACAATAATATCGCCTAGGACTTAAACTGTTTTCTTTTGACTGCGTGGAATATTCAAGACACTATCGCATATTTCATACGTTCACAAGGTAAGTAAAATGTATATATTTTTAAATGATCAAATTAAGAAAATGTATATTTTGTACTATCTATGCATAGAAAATTTCATAATATTAATACTACTTTTACTACGGTAATATTTTTATTTGCTTTTCCATTCATATCTTTGATCTAAAAATAATTTTTGATTTTGAAATAAACATAAAACTTTTCATCTTTTCAGAAAAAATTTAAATATAAAATATAAAATATATGGAGGTTTTAAATTTTCCTTTCTTCGTACTTTAATAATATTTTATTTAAGAATTGACGATAAAGTTATATTTTTAAAATATATGTACAAGCTATTAACGAATAATTTATAGAGACTTCCTTTTGCAATAATATTTTTACATATATATATATTATTTTGAACTTAAAATAGATTCATCACGAGGATTCGTCATTTCTCCTCTTAGTTCAAAATTAAATCCAAACTATATTGCATGCAGTTGCTATTAGACTATAAAAATTTAAACAAATAATATTTTGTGTAGAGTAAAATATCTATTTTAAATAAAACGATATTATAATATTAATGATTGGCATATATATGAAAATGTCATTTTACAAATTTGACATAATGATTTCTTATTTGTCGTGTAAAACATTATCAATATACAAATTGAATCACACATAAGTTTATAATAAATATTTTCTTGTAAAAGAAAATATGTAATATCCGGAAAATCAATTAAAATAACATATTGTAGTATATGTAAATACATGTACATATACTAATAAATCGAAATATTAACGTAGTCCTAACATGCAATACATCTTCGTGTCATGTGATATGTCTAATGTCACATGTTTGAAACAGAATAAAATTATACTATATGTATAAAAATAATGTATTTCCAAAATATCATTTTCCAAAATATAAAAATTTATACAATTTTATAGATTAAACATTTACAGTTAAATTTCTTGTTGCCTGTTTAAGGTAGGAGTACAAAGCAGCCAAAAATCAGGTTAACCAGTAATAATCACTTGGGGGAAACTCACTGATTTAAACAAAATTATAAGTGGAAAGTACTGAAGAAAAGAAAAATTGTACTTACATATATTGTTTCAATATATGTATAATGGTATATAATTTAAAAATATCATCGTAAACTTTTCATTCTGTATCAGGTTAAGTGGCATCAGGTTAATCAATAATCAACTTATAAATTTTTTAAATATTATTCTAAATTGTATATATTTATTTGATAATTATTTATTAATTATATAATTTTAAAAATTTTAAGCATTTTTATATAAGATTATAAAATTATATTCATTATTATATTTATTTTATGTGAATTACGTAAAAAAAACTATAATGAGATGAAAGAAAGAAAAAAAATATTTTTGCTAACTAAGACTTAAATTGCTGTAAATTATATTTTTTTCAATCGCTCAATTATATCCTTGCACATATATATACATATATATATATTTTGATCCGTATTTTCTTCGAAAAACATGCGTATTTTGTTCAATTTTATTACACATATATTCTTTGCAACATAAATGTAATATCTATTACATTTACTGCAACAATGAAAAACATTATGATTTAAAAAATCAAATTGGAAATTTGCTTGTAGAATTTCATCGGTAAGAAATCCAAACAATAATTGTTCTGTATCAAAAATTAAAAATTTTGAATTTTATCATTGTTGCAGCAATTTCACAATGTTGTTTATACTTAAATGATGTAATTTATTTATTCTCAGTCATCGATTAAAGTAAATGCGTAATGTAATAATTCTGATAAGAATCTAATTATTTTTTTTTTAATATTTTTTATAAGAACATTAATTCGTTAAAAAATGCATTCAATATAAGCATAAGTCTAGATTTAGTTGTTCTAATGATATATATTAATTACTCTTAAGTTTTTTTTATAAGAATACAATATACAAAAAATAATAATATTAATAAACAATCTTTTTAAGTTTATTGATTGCATTAATAATATTTAATGATAACTATTGATGTAGATTGTAAAATATGCAACAAAAATTTTTTTCGATATTTAAAAAATATTTAAAATCGATATTCAGTTTTATTATCAATGTGATATGTAATTTTTATAATGGTGACACTATATATGAATAAGTTTCATAGTGTTAAGTCTATGTTATATTTCATTTATGAAAATTTTATTTCAAGTAATATTAATGTCGTTGTACTTGTGTTTTATACGTTTATTGTAATTTTATAGTGATATATATAAATGATAAAAACAGACGTTATATAATATTTCATATACATTTTTTATTTATAGTAGACAAAACTATTAATTATAACATAATAGTTTGTATAGTAACATGTACGATTATGATAAAACAAATTTGAATATAAATGGAACAAAAAGATTTATAAGTAAAATACTGTCTTTTATATGATTTTCATTAATTAGTATTAATATTAATTATTATTATTATTATTTACTATTAATTATTATTGTAAATTACTTGATATATATCATATGCATGCATTTGTACAAATTTGATGAAATATCGTTTTACGACAAATTATTTCATTTAAATACATATATATATTTATTTAAAAAGTTATAAAAGAATCATATCGGATGAATTTTGAATTGAAATTCTTATTATAATTTTGGATCATAATACATCATAATATTAACTTAAGTTTATAAGTGAAAAATAAAAAAAATTAAATCAAAAATATAGTTTTCAAAAAAATTTTAAATCATAATGAAACATTTTAATTTGAAGTTTAGACAGATTTTATTCAATTTTTCTGGCAAATTAATTCGTATATTATATAGCACATATAATTGTATAGCACATTGTTATAATCAAACATGTTACTATACATATAATATATAAAAATTAAAAAAAAAATATATGTTATTTTTATTTTGTAATACAATTTCAAGTTTATTTTCGTATCATACACATGCGAGTCAGTACTTCATATGTAGCATACAATTAATTAGAAAGTTAGAATAAAGAGGTTGAGGGATCTTCGTTTCATTGTCTAGTGATGCTGTTTGTTTGGCAAGGAGCTCGCCGTTGCCTGAGTTGCAGCGGGCAGCGCACCCATCAAGGCTACCAACTGCGTCGTCATTGTGGATCAATCGATGATAAATATCAAATTCGGAACCGGTAAGTCTGTGAAGTTGTAGTTAATATAATAATAAAATTATATATATATATAATTTGTTAGTCAATTTCATCGATCAAATTTAATTTTTCATTCATTTTATACGATTATATTTTCTTTTCTTTTTTTCCCAATTACATTCTACTAATAATATAAATATAGTAAAAATATTAATTATCGAAATAATTTTGTTAAATTGCTTAAATTTTCAGCAATTTTTATTTTCATATAATTTAATTATTCAGAGATTTATTTTATATTTCATTTTTTTTCTTATGTATCATTTATATGTATTTCTTTCTTTATAAGAAAGAATATTGAGTCAATGGAGTCTATATTGATTTTATCCAATCAGACTCTTTAATGCAAATTAATTATCCAAAGACTAATGGATAATGGACGTTAGAAAATAACTTTCCTTATCTTGTGGTCCAAGGTTCATTGCACGCACATAAGAACTTATTACAGTATTTTAAATTAATTGAACGCCGGCGCTAGTGAATCACATTTTAATATTACGTATACACATGTATGTGTGTACAGAACTCTGGACATTGTGTCAACGTACTTGGGGACCCCAGTAATTCTCCGTTCTCGTTGACCCGACCAATTGATCGAATCGTTTAATCGTGGAAAAATTTCGCTGCTAAAAACATTGTTACAAACATTCATGATAATTTCAAATTAAACATGTGTAAGATTCGCATATTATGATAATGAACGATATATTGGATTGAGTAATAATAATATATTTTAATTACTATTATAATTATATTATTTGTATAAAACATACTATAATCAAATCATGTTTTTGCGATTATCAATTACATTTGTGATATTTTAGTCATATACCAAATGATTTAGTCACATATACCGAATATCAAAAATAAATCTAAATATGATTATATTTTTTAATTTTACTATGCAACTATATCAATGATTATCATAGTACATCGATTAATTTTTATGTTTAAATCGTATTTTGCTTTGAAAAATAATTATATTCAGTTGACATAAATATTTCTATTTCTATTATTTACTATATTTATAATAAAAGAATTCATATGTATATAAGACAAATTGACTGAAATTGAGTGTACAAAAGTATCGGTTTTACAATAAACCTAGATCACATAGATAAAATTATAATTATGTTGTGATAAAAACATTTGGTGATAACTTATATATATGAAATTAGTAATGTTAAAAGTTTGTTTAAATTGTTTAAACTCTTTGTATTTCAATTTAATTTTCTCAATTCGTTGCATTATTTCAATTGAATAACAATTGAATAACTACTAAAAAAACGTTAGTAAAAATTATCATTGTTGAATACTTTTTATTTCTTGAATTATAACAACAAAAAACGAATATAGAAATGTATATATATAATTCATTTGTATATTTTTATTATTTTAACTTATAAAGTATCCTGTCATATAAATTTGTGACAATTTTTATATTAACAAGTACATATATATATATATATATATATATATATATATGTACTTATATATATATATATATATCATTGAATTACTAAAAAAAAAATATATTTCTCAAAATAGTTATAATAACTTATAAATAATTTTTAAAAATAGATTCTAAAAGTCAAAAAAAAAACAAATAAAAAGAATTATTTATCGTGACAGGTAAGTAATACATAATTGTCGGCAAAACGTATCGATAAGAGAAGTATATAAAAGTTTTTCCGATTCACACTGGTACGTCAGTGAGCGATTGGATGTCGGTGTAGTTTGTACATTTCGAAGGTTGCGCTCCCT